TGTGCTCAGATGGACCTCTCTGCGCCCCCCCCCATCTCCTCCACAAAGCCCCCCTAAAGCTACCGAAGGGCAGGGGTTTAAATGTCACGCTTGGCCATCAGAGCGCCCAGCCCCCGGCTCGTGTCTCCTGGGGGAAGCACGCCAAGAGACAGGGAGAGGGAGAGAGGAAAGCTAAGGGGAGGGAGACACTTGCCCTTGCCCCATTGTCCATTACGATAGGCATGAGCTGCTAACTGACTCCAAATCAAGTGTATCCTCTCGCCACGCGCCCTGGCCTTGTCCTGCTCTTGCTCAAACACAAAGGCCCTCTATGTTTTTGTTTCTTCAACCATCCATAGGTGAATAGCAGCTTTGGTCATGGTATGTTTGACAGAGCAGCTTAAAGGAGGCTGCAGAGTCTAAATTCAGCTGGCCACCGGGCTGAATGATAAACACAGTTTGTCATCCTGAGACGTTCGAGATCCGTCCACATTGCACTCCGGTGAGCTCTTACATGACAAAAATCAATGCTAACTTTTTGCGTTCAGTCACATAAGAGGGACTTCAAAACGTTAAATCGGGTAGAGGGGGGATGAGGTGTGGGGTGACAAAGTGTCAAGCTGAAATACAGGTACAGGACGAAATATACGAGCCGCCGGCCAACTTTATCCCAGCCCAAGGTCCTGGCCCATACTTAACCCACCCACAAGATTGAGTGTTTTATGTATCTATTTGTTCTAAATAGTGGCACACTTGACCTTGAGTCAAGATGTGTGTGCTCGCAGCCTGGCCCGGGAATCATCCCTCCTGTCAGGGACGGGAGGGAGTGACCTTGAACCGCCAAGGCGCAGGCGTAGCTGAGTGCACAAACTCATTTAACTCCTGGGTTTGTTATCGACATGCTGTAATCGTTAACATTATGGATGATGAATAACTACTGACTGCCATATACCTGTGCAATACGTCGCCGTGCCATGCAGACTCGGGCAAGATGGGGGCCGGCAATGGCAGACATGGCGTGCTGATGGTCAGGTGACTGGAGGACCACATCACTTAGACTTGTTTTTCCACCCAATCATAGCGACAACTCATCAAGGGTGCCAGCAAAGCACATGGAGGTGCTTAAGAACATAGATC